GGATAGCACCATTAAACTCCCAAACAACCAAATTCACTGCCATCGAGTTGATGCTGAATCATGTGACCCTATCAGACAGGGAAGCACTGGCTTTGTGGCGTTCTGAGACTGTAACTCTGTATGGGAGTAAAGAGCCTCATCTTTCTCCCAAGGGGCGGCTTATGGTTTCAAACTGCTGACCTTGCAGTTCGTAGCCCAACACATAACACCACTATACCGCCAGGGCTCCTGAAAGGGAATAAGCAAAACCCACTCTTGGCAAGCCCGTTCTGATTCACAGCCAAATGATTCAGAGTTCCTGAGACTGTTGACCTTGATGGGAGCCGACAGCCTCCCCTTTCTCCCGAGCAGCGGCTGGTGGCTCGGAACCCCTGGCCCGTGGTGAGCAGTCTGTGGGCTCTGGATGCTTAAACCGGGGGTGGAGTGGTTCTATGCAGAAGTTTCGCGTGCATGTCTGTTGCCATGGGTCTCGGAGTTGTTGGTTCCCCCCGGCTGCTTCCTGCTGCCCGTTTCCACCGGACGCCGTGTCAGCGCCTCGTCGTAGTGTGTGTGACAAGTGGGTTTCCCCCGATAACCACATACCTCTGACTCTGCCCAGGGTCCCGCTTCCTCTTCCTTGAAATCTGCCTTTTTCAGTGTTTTGCTTGGAAAGACTAGTTCTGTTCCAAGATTGAAAACCACCCCAAAGCCCCCGCCCCCATCTGATTGGCTGCTGTAGTGTTTGTGTCACTTTACAGTTTCCCCCAGGAACTCTGGTGACGTCCTGATGACGCGTTGGGCTGCGATCCACAAGGTCAGCAGTTTGAAACCACAAGCCGTCCCTTGGGAGAAAGATGAGGCTCTCTACTCCCTTAAAGAGCGACAGTCTCGGAAACCCACAGGGCAGTTGGACCCTGTCCTAGGGGTCCGCCGTGAGTCAGAATCCTTGGTGTGATTTGAACATCTCCAGGCAAGGGTGGCTCTCGCATGACCGTCTCCCCCTAGAACAGACCTACACACACCCGAGGCCAGTCGGCTCCCCAAGGGATTTCCAGGCCGTCGCCTTGTGTGGCAGGAGCTTGCCAGCTCTCTCTTCCTCAGCGCGACAGGTAGGGCCCCTGCTTTTGGTTGGCAGCTGAGCATGTAGCTGCCATGCCCCCAAGACGCCTGGCCAGCTACCTCGATGGTGTCTGTCACCGGGTCAGCTCTGAGTCACGGCAGCCCGACGTGCAAGGCACCGAGACCCCAGCCCTGCGCCGTCCTCACCATCGTCGCTTTCATGCCGAGCCCGGGGTTGCATCCGCCGTGCCCTCCATGCCCTTGAGGGCCTTCCTCGCTTCCGGCCTCTCTCCCCACAATTGTCGTTTTGCTGTTGCTGTTCCGTGGCATCGAGTCGGTTCCAGCTCGTAGCAGCCCTGGGTGCGCACCTGCGCCCTCCCCGCCGTGCCGTGTGTTTGAGCCCACTCTTGCAGCCGCTGTGTCCGTCCACCTCGTCCACAACCTCCCCCTCGCGCTGCCCCTCTGCTTTACAAGCACGATGTCCTTCTCCAGGGACGGGTCTCCTGAGACAAAACCTCGCTGCCCTTGCCTCTGAGGCGCATTCCGGCTGTCCTTCTTTGTTCTTTTGGGAGCCCAGGGTACTTTCGCCCTCGCTTCCCAGCACCGAGATGAAAATGCATGTTTTCCACAGCTAATGGGCTTGTATTGGGCCACGCTGACCAGAGAAACAAGTCCAGTGACACGCGTGCGTGTGTGTGTGTCAGAGAGAGCTTTAGATCACGAAGTCATTGTACATCAAGGAAACGTCCCAGCCCAGTCCAACCCAAGTCCATAAGTCCGATACTAGTCCGTAAGGCCCCCCTCAGACTCACGCAGCCACATGCCGTGATGCAGAATGCGGGTGCACAGTCCTGTGGATCCCGTGGCGGGGGCTCTGGCCGCTGTCTGGGTCCGCCAGCAGGAAGGTGAAGGCGGAGAGGAGGGGGAGGTTCCCAGGACCTTCCTTATGAGAAGGCCCCACCCACAAGGAGCCCCCATTAGGCTATGACCTGACGGACAGGTTGAATACCACCCCCTCACTTTTATACATATTCACATCTTCACGTTGGCATGAAACGACATGACCACAAGGTTGATCAGGGACGTCGATAGGTCACCACAAGTCAGGTTCGGCAAGCACTGAGGATGCAGCTCTGGGTGGTCTCCTTGGCTGGCAGCAGACTCTTCTCAAACAGCTGGGCATGGGGGGCAGCCCTCCCATCACTGGGTCCCACAGTTCCATCATCTGGTGCCAGAAGAGGTGGGGGCACCCACAGCCCCGCCTCATCTCCCTGTGCTGATGGGAGCCGTGTGGGGGTGAGTGACAAACACACGTGCAAGTCTGCTCTCTGCTGCAAGCAGAGAACGGTGCTGGCAATGGCGGCCGGAGAGGCTTCCAGAGTGACTGTCCAGCTGGTGTGTCCCCTGGTGATAGCCCATGGCAGCCTTCCCTCCTGCTCCCCTCTCTCCTCGCCCCTCCTGC